ACGTCCTGGGAGGACAGAACACGACGAGAGGAGGGGTGGTAGAACTGCCACCCTGGAGCGTCAGGGGGGAAGCCAAGGAAGACACAGGGAGCAGCACGGGGGGACAGCTTGTCCGCAGACAAGTCGCGGACAAACGCCCGAGATCCCCAGACACGGAACGCAGACGCATCGCCGACCTTCCCCGTCCACAGTAACACTGGGGACATCGCAGGCCGAGAGACCCTGGGGTGAAGGTTGAGCTGATGCGCCGCGTACCGAACCGCAAACGGCCACAGAAAATGGGGGGCAGCCGCATGCATCATGGACGTACGAGCGACATCCATGACCATGCCAATGCGGCGCTCAGCAATCCCATTTTGCTGTGGAGAGTCCGGAAGCGTAAAGGTCTGGCGGATCCCCTGTGCACGACAGTAGTCTCGCAGAAGGCGAGAGGAGAACTCCCCACCTCGGTCAGAGTGCAGACGCAGAACAGGAAAGTCCGAGCCGAAGCTCCTCCTGAGCTGGAGACGAGCCTCGCGGATCCAGTCGATCAGCACCTCAGTGACAGCACCCTTGCTGCGCAAGGGGAAGACTGAGGTGTAACGCGAGTAGTCGTCAACCACCAACAGGAAGTAGCGCTCGTGACCCTGCCCACGGACGGGGGCCGGGCCCCACACGTCCATGTGAAGCGTCTGCAGAGGAGCCTCTGTCGGGGGAAACTGGGAGGAGTGAGGAGCAGCCCTGAGGCGCCCCTCGACACAGGGGACACAGGAAGGTCCTGGTCCCGAAGGAAGGGGAGGGAGAGACTGGGGAAGACCAGAGACAAGGACACGGGAAGCCATGCCCCGAAGACGGGGCAAGGAGGGGTGGCCTAGACGGTGGTGCCACAGAAGAGTCTCGTGAGACAGGAGGCGACACGAACAGGGGGCAGACTCAGGACCAGACCTGGACGCAGCAGCAAACACCTGACCCGACGCTGCTACCTGACCGGACGCGGGGACAGGAGGAGACTTAGTGGTCAGGGTGTAGAGGCTCGACCCCGGCCGACGCGAGAACGTGGCCAGGTGCCGGCCTGTGCGTGCGTCCGTGCAGTGGGTCACCCGCTGACTCGCAGGAGTGAACTGGTGAACCCCCGCATCCTGTAGGTCTGCACCACTCACCAAGTTCGTCGAGAACGAGGGGAGGTACAGGCCAGACAGGGTGCCCGAGGGGGCAGCCGGACACGGGAGGACAGTGGAGAAGTGAGCGAGGACAGGACCCCAAGAGGGGTCAGCCAGGGAGACTGCAACCGGCCGACCAAGCGGCGTGAGTGTGGTGCGGTCCCGAAAGAAGGAGCGAGAAGCCCCAGAGTCAAGTGTAAAGGTGAGGGAGGCCGAAGCCAACGCGGTACCTGAGAGCGCAGCCTCACCCGCACCTGAGGAAGCAGACTCACTAGCACCTAGAGCAGCAGCCGCACCTGTACCTGGAGCAGGAGACTCACTAGCACCCAGAGCAGCAGCCTCACCAGTAGCTAGAGCAGCAGGTCCTATACCTGGGTCAGGCGGGACGCACAGGTGACCGGCACGGTCAGCACTAGTAGGCAATGCATACATGGCAGTGAGAATAGCATCATAGTCAAGAGCATATATATCTACCCTCTGCCTAAGCAACTCCACCCAGTCGGGAAGCTCAGCCTCGTCGCCAAACACGGTACGCCAGGCGTCGCTCAGACGGGCGAAGCAGCGGGACGGTGTATGACTACGTGTCCCACAAGGCTGACCAGTCCGAGTACCAGTGCGAATCACGTAAGAGCAGCGAACAGCACTGAGAGACCCTCCACTCTGAGCGTACCACTCACGAAGCTGGCGAGGCGTGAGAGACACGCGAGAGGGTCGCGGGAGCTGCATCTGGCCGCCACCACGAGTAGAAGCAGCAGGAGTGGCAGTAGGAGTAGCGTCGCCACCCCTACAGCCCCAACCAGCGTACCACTCACGCAGCTGCTGGGGCGTGAGGGACTCACGCCGGCGTCGCTGGGGCTGCATTTGGCTCCGCAAGTAGAAGCAGGAGCAGGACTAGCAGCAGGGAGGCAGGCAGCCAGGCAAGCCAAAAGGCAGGCAGGCAGGCAAGCAGGCGACGCGCAGCGTGCTAGCAGGGCAAGAGCTCACCAGTGGTGGGAAGAGTAGGCTCGGCGACTCAGCGGCTCGGCAGCTCGGCGGCTCGGCGGCTCGGGCGACTCGGGCGGCTCGGCGGCAAGGCGGCTCGGCAGCAACTGCAGCTCAGCAGCTCGGGGACTCGGCGGCTCGGCGGCAGGGCGGCTCGGCAGCAACTGCAGCTCAGCAGCTCAGCGACCCGGCGGCTCGGCGGCAGGGCGGCTCGGCTGCTGGGCGGCTCGGGTGCAGGGCGGCTCGGCGGTGGGGCGGCTCGGCTGCTGCAGTGGGAGATGAAGGAGGAGGAGAAGCAGGGGAGGCCACACACCTGCCACCCCTCCGCAAGCGGCCCCCTCAGGTCGCCTCGACAGGCGACGGGAAAAGGGGGGGGGGGGTGGTGGGGGCCGGTAGGTGCAGCGGCGGGGCCAGCAGGTGCAGTTGCGGGGCCGGTAGAAGGGGACGGCAGGAGCCGTCAGGAGGGGACGGCGGGGCCGTCAGGAAGGGACGGCGGGGCCGTCACGAAGGGACGGCGGGGCCGTCAGGAGGTGACCGGGCCGCGACGGGGGCAGGCGGCGGGGCCGCGTAAGGGCCTGGGCGTGGCCGCGACAGAGTCGTCGGCGGGGCCGCGTGAAAGCCGGGGCGGGGCCGCGTAGAAGCCGGGGCGGGGCCGCGCGAGAGCAGGCGGCGGGGCCGCGAAGGAGCCGGGGCGGGGCCGCGTGAGAGCAGGCGGCGGAGCCGCGTAAGGGCCTGGGCGGGGCCGCGACAAAGCCGTCGGCGGGGCCGCGTGAAAGCCGGGGCGGGGCCGCGTAGAAGCCGGGGCGGGGCCGCGCGAGAGCAGGCGGCGGGGCCGCGAAGGAGCCGGGGCGGGGCCGCGTGAGAGCAGGCGGCGGGGCCGCGACAGAGAGGGCGGCGGGGCCGCGTCAGTGAAGGCGGCGGGGCCGCAGGGGAAATGGCGACCCGAGGGGTCGCTAAAAAAAAAGATCGCGCCTCGGGGGGCGCTTCGGTGGGCCCAAAAAAAACGGTCCGTAGAAGGACCCGCTCTATACCATGTGAGAATAAGCGAACAGGAATGGATGAACTAGCAGTGAAAAATGAGTACAAGTAGGAAACCCTAGAATTGTGTACCCCCTATAGGCTAACCCACTGTAGCCTACACAAGCATAACATATATAATGTTTGACACAGCTGGGGCGAGTGGGAATAACGCGATCCTGGTCGTCGTCGATCGACTAACGAAGATGGCTCATTTCGCAGCATGCAGGAAATCAATCACAGCCGAGATACCCGCATCGATCATCAGCGACAGGGACACGAAATTTACAAGCAACTTCTGGCGGAATCTGTGGCAACAGTTCGGCACACGCTTACAGTTCAGTTCATCCTATCACCCCGAAACCGACGGACAGACGGAACGGACAAATCAGACCATGGAGCAGCTGATTCGAGCCACGTGCGACGATCCGAATACGTGGGAACAGCAGCTGCCACTCATCGAGTTCGCATACAATAACGCACCATCATCCACGACGCAACAGTCGCCGTTTTACTTGAATTACGGACATAACCCAACAGTACCCATGACACCGAATCCCGACAACCCCGTCCCACGAGCACAACAGTTCGCCGAGATTCTGCAAGCAGCACGGACCATGGCAGCAGAAGCAATCAAAAAATCAAACATCATCGCTAAACGCAACGCCGATCGCCATCGCAGACCCATTACTTATCAGCCCGACGACCTCGTTTTACTCGACACTCAGAACCTCCGCCTGCCCATCACTCCAAAACTCCGCCCTCGATACTGTGGGCCATTTCGAATCAGTCACATGGTTACGCCAGTCACCGCGCACCTCCTCCTCCCTGCTGACTGGTACGTCAGCCCCTCGTTCCACGTCAGCTTACTTCGCCCTTACGTGCCATCCACCAGCCAACTCCCACGACATCGACCCACTAGCATGACACGACCACCAACCGAACCAGTCATCACCCCCGACAAGATCCTGAGCCACAGAGTTCGCGACCCTCGAGGAGCCCGCAAAGTAGAGTTTCTGATCCGCTGGAAAGATCGTACCCCCACCGAGGACAATTGGGTTCCCTTGGAGAAAGTTGAAAATCACCCCGTCGTCACCGACTACCTACGTAGCCGCAATTTCCGAGACATCCACGCGCTTTAATAAGGAGGACCTCCTTAGGCGGGGGGGTAGTGTAAGGAAATTCCCTTTTCCTTACTTCGCGTCCCTGCTCAACGCGTACATCACTGTAGCACCTCAGTCAGCACCGTTACCACTCGCGACCATCGCATCATTCATCATCCCGCCCTTTTCGCACATCGCATCCTGACCTCACGGCTCGGCTGGTAACCCGCGCTCCGGGCCTTCGCTTCGACACTTTCCAAACCTCAGTCCCAGGCTCGTCGCGCGACCATTACCGTACCACTATAGTTTCGCTATATAATGTTCGCTCATGCCTTCGCTCAATTGTATTCTTGCTTCGATAGTGCAATTCTCGTTCGTTCACTCAATTGCACTCGTAACAACTATCCACCTCTTTTAATCACGGAACTGAAATACCGTAGGAATAGCATGCAGGAACAGCTAGGAATAGTACGCAATAACAGCTAGGAATAGTACGCAATAACAGCTATGAATAGTACGCAATAACAGCTAGGAATAGTACGCAATAACAGCTATGAATAGTAAGCAATAACAGCTAGGAATAGTACGCAATAACAGCTAGGAATAGTACGCAATAAAAGCTAGGAATAGAACGCAGGAACAGCTATGGTAACTAGACATGCAGCAGCAGCAGCGTCTGAACGCGCAAGCCGAACCATCAGATGGTATGACAGGCACAACACAACCCTTATGGTCTACTCTGCAATGCCACCTCCGCAAGTCATGCGTCATATATCCTTGTGACATCGCGCACCTCCCTGCGGCAAATAGGGCAGCGCTTGTTTGCCATGCGCATGAGCTCCTGCCCGCACGAGTAGCACGTGGCACGATGCCCGCAGTCCAGGATAACTGCATTCCGCGGATTCTCCATGCACACGCAGCAGCAGTTCTTGTCCTGGTCCTCACCCTCCCCTTCTTTCCCTACACCTGACCCCGACCCTCCTGCCACCCCACTCCCCTGCCCTGTGGCCCCAATCCCCGCCTCTGCCTTCCCCGGTGATGACTCCAAGGGAGGGGCTGAGGGGGCGCTGGAACCAGGTAGGGTGTCGGCAGTGGTTGTAACAGCCCATGTGTCAGGAATTGGTGCCTGTGATTGGGATGCTGTGCACACATCACTGCATGCTGCTGCTGTGGCTTGGTCGGGAGGCGTGTACAGCGGGGGGGAGTCCGTAGGGGCGAGAAGAGGGTGCTGCTCAGAGGGCAAGGCGGAGGGGAGAGGGGAGGGGTCGGTGGAGATGGAGGCGAGGGCGGAGGGCTGGCGCATGGAGTCAGAGCGGTGCTGCAGGTACTGCTGGCAGCGGTAGATGGACAGGGCGATGAGCGAGAGCAGACAGGGGATGCCTGCAAGGGGAGGGGGGAAGGAGGAGGCAACCAAGAGACGGTTGGTGGGGGGAAGAGGTGTAAAGAGGGGGAGGGAGAGGGGGTTAGAGTGAGGAGGACAGGGGAAAAGGAGGAGTGGCAGCGTTTGGATGCAGTGTATGCTGCATACGAGCATGCAGCAGTGGATGGGGTACACGTGGTGGTGCATCGGGTGCATGGGGTGAACAGCATGCCCTGTAACAGACAGGGTGTAATGGGCCGTATAGGGTGCATGTGGGAGGGCAAACAAGGACGAGAAGACATGCATGCCTTGACCAGAAGACGGACGAGACACAGGTGAGACGAGGAGGCCTGGAGGGCAGAGAACGAGAGCAAAGGCAAGAAAAGGAGAGGGACGGCCAGGGAAGGCAAGGTAGGGAGGGAACGAACCAACAAGGGTTAAGTAGGCGAGCCATCGTGGCTGGTAGGCCACCTGCACGTGCCATGTGCTGTCTGCCTTGTTGGTCTGGTGGGCATGTGCCGACGGGGGGTTGAAGGCGGGAGGTGAGCCGCCCCCCGGCAGGAGGGACGCAGGAGGAATGGAGGAAGAGAATCTAGATTATGAAGGAAATGACCGGACAAGAAAAAACTACAGCAATCAGCCGAGGCCGAGGAATGAAAACAACGCAGGCCGGTGAGTGACCTAGAGAATGGTGTAGGGAATACTGATGCAAGGTGGCAAGGGAGAAAGTGGGCAAGGTAAGAGAGTGGCTCACCTTGGGAGCAGCAAGAACAACGTATCGGGTTTCCCAGAGAGGCAGCTTGGCACTGCAAAAGCCATAGTCATCATCGTCATCATCATCATCGCTATCAGTGAGAGCATCCCCATCACTGGTGTAAGTGGCAGTGACGTTCTCAGCATCAGCAGCAGGTGGCATCAGCTCAGCAGCGCTGCGTGGAACGACAGCCGAAGAGCCATTCATAGGCATAGCTATCGGCATGGGCATGGCCATGCGCATGGGACCACTTGTAACGTTGGTTAGGGTTTTCCTGTCCATGCCATCCGACTCATTTAAAGATCCCAAGGGAGGCGGGTGCTTGTTCCTGATTTTGCAGGACTTCTTTCCTTTGCTGATGTCATACAGCACACTCGTGACCTCGAAATGCACCAAGGCCACCTGGTCACATGCATGCACATACACACACAAAATCACGCAAGGACACATACAAATATTGAGATTTCTGTTGAAAGACACTCAAAACCAGCTCGCGTGAAGGAGGGTGCAAAGAGCAAAATCAACAGACATAATAATGACAGCTAGAGAACTGGTTGAAAAGAAAAGCTTCGATGTCGAAGAGCCCAGTAAAAAACTCCTGCCCTTGCAAATCCTACTCCATTACAGCCCCACATCTCTCCCCGGAAAACACTAGTTGCGGAAGGAAACAGAGAGGTGAGAGAGGCAGCAGGGCAGGGCGACTCACAGTGGCCGGGTAGGCGTTGTAGTTGACAAGCACAAAGTAGTAATCGTTGTCCCTGGGCACTTGAAACGTCACTGCGTCATCCCCTGCACCCACAGAAGTAGCAATGGAGTAGGAGGATGAAGGAGGATGGCATGGGGATGGCAGCGCGGGGATGGCGTGGGGATGATGAGTGATGGCTGGCACTCTGGATTGCAACAACACCACACACCCTCGTGTTCACCTCTCCACCACAGAAACTCCTCTCTGCAGCTGCACTGCCTGCACTGTACTTACCCGAGAGGAAGTATTTCCTGAGTGCTCCAGTGAACGCCCTCGGATCCGTCTTGAACTTACCCATCTGACTCGACCCTGCCATGCCATTCCACGCCAGGTCATGCCACGCCACACCATGCCACGCCACACCATGCCATCCCGTGTCATTCCACGCCACAACACGCCATGCCATGCCGCGATATGCCGTCACATGGCACAACAGATGGTCAGAATCCCACAATGGTGGTTGCGAGGCAGGGCAGGGCAGAAAGGGAGAGCAGCGAGACAATGGGATGAGAGCCATGGGATCAGGGGCATCAGGGCATCAGAGATGGACAATCAAGTCAAGGGCGCGGACTGGGTGCCGGTGGGGGAGAGCGAGGGTGAGAGGGGGTTGAGCGGGAGAAGGGGCGGTGCGGGATGGGGTGCGCATGGGAATGGGGATGGTTGAGGGGGTGACGAGCATGCATACCTTCGATGACTAGCAGGTCGAGGGGGCGGTAGGAGCGGATGTCGGAGAAGGAGAGGGTGATCTGCGACCACTTGTTGAAGTGAAACAACCAGCTCTGCTAGGCGCATCGTGACAATGCAATGCAATGCAGAGCAGCACAGTGCAGTGCACACATGGGAGTGCAGAGCGAGGGGGAGTGGGTGGGAGGAAAACGAGTGGCGGGTTGAGAAACTGTGTGGTGTGGCGTGGTGCCGTGCGGTCCACATCGCTGCATGCACGGTGGCAGCGCGCATGCACAGTGGTAACACACGTATGAAAGCTTTTGCAGTAGCCCACGCACATTCGATTTCAAGATCCAGAACACAATGCTGGCTGCAGGCTCGGCAGCACACTCAGCTCGCCACACTGCTCGGTACCACCCACCCACCCGTATTCCATCTCCCACTGTGGCGCACACTGCTCGTTACATTGCTGACGCATAATGCAGCTCCATATAGTGCTGCACTTTGAGACAACTCACAATCACAGCTGTGCGCCATACTGCAGCTCACCCACCCACCGCGCACCACCCACTTACTTAACTGGCCACCCTCCCCCTCGCCAGCCTACCCACCCAACCAACCACCAACCTAACCGCCCACCCCCATCTCGCCCGCCCGGCCGCCTGCCCGCCACCCACCCGGTAGGAGTAGGGCTCGACGCGCACGTTGGGGCGGCCCGTGGCCCACTCCTCGTTGACTATGGGCGGGTAGCGCGTGAACGTGACCAGCACGGGTGGGGGCGATGGCATCAGCGCCAGAGGCGACACCTGGCTCGGGAGGAGGAGAGGGGTGGGGAAGGCGGGGGAAAAGGGAGAGATGGGGCGCGGGAGGAGTATTGGAGACGGGTGATGGAAGATGGGAGAGGAAATGGATCTGAGTAGAGACGTCTTGGGAATAGGTGTGGAAGTGGGAGCGGAACTGCGAGTGGGGAAGGTGATGGGAAGCTTAGCAGCTCCACGCACACCCCCCCCCCCCCGCATGCATTCTTAGTCACCCTCGTAGCTTCAACCCACCCCACCCCACCCCTCCCCATCCCAGCGACCCATGTACCCAAGCTTTACCCCCTATCTTCTCATCCCCGCCACCATTCGACCAGCACAGCCTCACCTGAACGCCAGCGACGAAGGGTGAGAAGCGCGGCAGCATGCGGTGCTCGTGGGGATGCAGGTCCACACTCGTGGACGCGTATGCGAACACGTACAGCCACAGCGCCACTGCCGGGGGGAAGCGAGGGAGGGACGTAGGCAGGGGAAAACGAGGGGTGCGGTGAGAAGAGGGAAGGGAGAGTGGACAGGGGGAATTATGAGAGAATGGATTGCATTCTTGGGCACGGTGGCAGTTGGGTAGGTTGGGCAAGATAAGCGATTTGATAGCAGCCTTTTCACAGCAGCCACCATGCCATCCCGGCCGTGCATGCATGTCCCAAACCCGCGCGCTCATCCCCTCGCACGCCCACTCACCCCGCCTCCCACTCACCAGCAACCGCAACCCACGGCAGCCATTTCATGACAACCATCCACGTGGGCGGCCGCGACCGCCTGTATCTCTCCTCCGGAAACCGCCCCGAGTGCGCCACCACCGGGTGCGCCGGCCAACGCCTCGCGCCCCCGCCGTGCCCCCAGGGCGTGGCGGCTCCGGGCTGCGCGCTAGGGGGGCAGAAAGGGCGGGGCGGAAGTCGGGAGGGGGAGTGGCCGGCAGGCGGTGGCGGAAAATAGCCGACGGATTCACGAAACGCGCATGGGTCGATGGCAGGTGGCGGATCATCATGGTCATGCGGAGGATGGGGAGGATGGGGGCGGTGCGGATGGTCGTGATGGTGATGGCGGTGGTGGTCGTGGTGGCGATGAGGATCCTCATACTCGCCATGGCGACACCCGCTATCCCGATGCCAGGGGCTTCCGCCTCCCCCCCACTGACTGCCTCCGCCTCCGCCCGCCATCATGTGGCCCAGCGCGAACCCGCCCAAACCCGCCGCCACCGGTGCAATCCAAGAAGCCGCTCCTCCTCCTCCTCCGTCGCCGCCGCTGCCGCCAGTGGCGATTGGGGGAGGGTCGAACGAGCCCGTGTCGGTGCGGCCCGCGTCGTCTTCAAAAATCTGGGGTTGATTCATAGATGCGCCACCCGTGAAAAAACCGCCGCTAAAGATGTCGCCTCCGCCAAACGCGGCGGGTTCGCCGCCACCACCGCCGAAATCCG